TTTTTTTTTGTATTTTTTATAGTAGAGACGGGTTTCACCGTGCTAGCCAGGATGGTCTCGATCTCCTGACCTTGTGATCCGCCTGCCTCAGCCTCCCAAAGTGCTGGGATTACAGGCTTGAGCCACCGCGCCCGGCCGTTAAAGCCTTTGGTGAGTTGTATAAGCACGCACCCTTTCATCATTTCACTGTCCTGTGATACTCCCTCAGTGCCTGGCATCATCCTTTCACTTCCTCAGTCTTCCTGGGTCTCTGGCAACTTGACAACAGTTATTTTGTAGCACGTTCTTCGGTGTGGGTTTTTTCCGGTGTTTCTGCCGTAGGTTCGGGTTGTGTGTCTTTGATCGTCACAGTTCATCCTTGCAGGTGACATGCAGTTTGTCTCCTTTCTGATGATGCTCACTACAGTCGCTTGGTGATGTTGCTGTCTGCCGTGCTTTTCACCGTGGACATTGTTTATAATAAGGATTTGGTAGGGACACCTGAATCTACTTAAATATTCCTTTCTTACGCAGCTTTGAATGAATTCATCATGGATCCTAATGTATTCATTGGGGTATAGAGTCTTTTCCTGTTTGTTTTGATGCTCTAGTTGTGCTCTGTGTGGCTGGCTCTGCCCCCTTGTGTGTCCCTGTTGTCTGGGAGAACTTCCCTGCTCTGGCAGAAGAACATCAGCCACCTCTTGGTCCCGCCGTGCCCCACGCCTCGACCTGGCCATTTCTCCAAGGAGCCTGGCGTCTGTGGAGGAGAATGGCCTTGAGCAGACAAGGTCTGGATGATGGGTGAGCTCATTGCTATTGAGGCGTCACCGCTCCCCAGGCCTCTTTAATGGGCAAAGCCAGAGACTGGTCATGTAAACAATACCCCGGTTTATGTTTGATGTTTCCTCCTGGATCTGCATGTGTGTTGAAAGCTGTGAGTTCCCACCAGTATCCCCAGGTCCAGTTCGGATCCACAGGGTTCATTCCAGTTTTCTCTTGGCAATCTTGCAGCTCCTTTCTCTCTGGCAGTTTGGCCCCCTGACCCCGTGCATAACCAGCGTCTCATCCTCCGGTGCGTGGCTCCTCCCCTCACATGTGGGGGTCTTGGCTAACCCCCCTCGGACCTAGCACCTGGGTGGAAGCCCTCCTCATGCTCGCGGACTCATTCCCTGTGCCCGGCTGCGTCTGCAGAGACGCCCTCCTCACCTTGTGTGTGTGACACCTGCCTCGTGGCTTTAGCAGCAACCTGCGGGGAGCAGGCAGGGGCAGGAGGCAAGCACAGAGGAGCAGACAGGGGCAGGAGACAAGCACAGGGGAGCAGGCAGGGGCAGGAGACAAGCACACGGGAGCAGGCAGGGGCAGGAGACAAGCACAGGGGAGCAG